ATTTACCTAATATCTTATTATCTAATATTTAGTTTTGCTACTATTTTATAAAACATGAGGCAATATTCTTTCAGAAAGAGAACAAAAAAGGGCAAGTCGAGTTATTATTATGTCTAACGAAAGGTGAGAAAGATGAAGATACCGGTGGGCAGCTGATCTTGTCTCTAAATCGTCTGAGATGTTCACTTCAGACGATGCATGAGCACGAGAATCTAAAAGGACAAATGTATTTAAAGATGTCGGTTGTCGATAGTGGACGAGTAACACATTTCTGGAAAAGTGATCGATTTGCACCGACGGTGTCTATGAAATTCCCACCAGAGACTGCGAGAGTTGTCGCCGACAATCCATATAAAGGAGCGCTCAATGATGTGAGCTTTGTTGTAAAATTCGTCTCGAAGAATAAAATGAGTAAGAAGAGTTCTCTTATAAAGCTTAAAACATCATGTATAATTGTATTGTTTTTAATATTACACAATTATATATAGGCAAGAAGACTCCCGTAGGCCACTTTGTGATTGGACCTGACGTTGGTGGAACTTATGGCGAACAATGGAAACAAGCTTTAGCGAAACCAGGGCAACAGATAACGAAGTGGCAAGCGTTTGAATAAAAATAAGGCATGCGAGAAGTCAGTAACTTATTCAACATTACAAAAACGAGTGAATGTACTTTCCTCTTAGATATCTAGAGACAACGAAAATGAGAACGCTATACGTGCGCTATAAATATTTAAGATACCCCCCCCCCCCGATCGATAAGACTATTCCAAAGAATACTATAGACACGTATGCGAATGCGAACATGATTTACATAAATCTTTCTTGCTGTACGCATTCATATCTAGGATCTGCTGTTGATTTTATACGAGAAAATAATGTGAATATCTTATAACGGAATATCATTTTGAAAGACAAACCTAGTTGCAATTTTTGATTGCATGGATTCTGTATATACAGGATCTTTGCTAATTTTAACCGTCCTTGATTTCTCAAAGGAGAATTTCTCAAACTCGATGTTTCTATTCCGAATCCGATCAATATAACCGTCCATAAGATAAGCACTATCGTCCAAACATATAAATGTATAATGTAAAATGAGTAATTATATAACAACATATCATATTTTGTAAGGTTGCAAGAAGAAGGCTCGCTATTTTAGTATTAATTGATACTTTATTTCGACACTGAAAAAATTTTTATATATATTAAGACATTTATATTATTACCTTCTACAAAGAGTCGTAAAAGTAACACATCTTTGAAAATAATAAATTTGATTAGTTTTATATGTATAATAAATGCTCATTTTTATTATTACGCCAGAAACGAAGAAAACGGCGATCAATATCCGGAGTTGATATTAGCAAAAAGCCATTTTGAATGTGATATGTCGAAATATTTTTTCTATTAATCATTATTTATACGTTTATTAACATAAAATATTTAATGTCAATGTTAAAAACGCCACAAAAATCGTAAAATATATTTTTACATAATTGCACCATATCTTTTTATAATATATAAAGACTAAATATTAATTCATTAGTATTAATATTTTAAATGTTTTTACAGTTTAAATAAGTATGCCGCAAAAAAGGTAGTTAAAGTATTTTCAAAACATTTACAAAATTGTGTAATATCAATTAACATTATTTTTACAATTTTTTTATATTTGTTTTAAAATGCAGACATCGATAATATTTGTATGTTTATAATTACGCTGACACCAAAAAATACACATACATTATTTTCTTTAAAATATTTTTATTTACTACTTTATTGTATGTAGAAGAAAAAAATAATTTTGTTTATAAATATGTCTTGTATTATCTACATACACGATTTTATTATTTCCCTACCTATTTTTCTACTATAAATAGGAAATTTAATAAATTTTTCAGGTATTATGTTCATCAAAACAATATTTCATTTTCGTTTAAAAAGTATTTTATTATCTATACTTCATACAATCGTCTAACAATTTTATTGCAAATTTTGAAAATAATATATAATATTACTTTATTATCATATGCTTTACGAATAAGACATATCGGTGATACAATGAATTATAAATCATGCTTGTTTATGTTGTATGGCAGTTAAAGGATAAATAGTACTAAAAAAAGAAATATGTACAAAAACACTAAAATGGCAGAACGCCGCACTACAACTAAATTGATCGTATGATTAATCTGGACGGTTTTAGCAGTCTTATTTTTAATATCTGGGGTTAAAATAATCGATTAATTCGATATTAGTAAGACTTATAATTTGTACTATAGTAATATTAAAATGGAAAAAAATAGTACAAATATACATTTTTTGTATAGCAGTAAAAATATATTTCTATAAAATATGTAATTTATTGATAAAATGTAGCTTAAAAGCCAAGGTAAATTACCGACTTACTGGAAGTTATTCCGTCTTATATTTAAAATTTTCATTGATATTGTTATTGACACATAAAGATATGTATAAAAAGGCACTTGATTGCGTAAAAAATTATAAAATTATAAAAATTACAAAAATGCATTGTAAAAACTACAATATCTATATATATTTGATTGCTGGAGTTTGTATCTTCCCTGATATTCGATGTTTAAGATAAAAGAAGTATTGAGTAAGTACAAGTGAATCTTGAACCGTAAAGATAGTTAGTGAAATCTAAATTATCCAGTGAATCAGATCTGTTGAGAATCTTTGGCTAGACTTCTTCAAACAACAAATACGTATCGAACGGTTGTTATTAAACCAATTAATAAGAGAAGCCAATTTCCATATTGGTAAGACGCTGAATTACAACCGTCTTTACTATTGCACGTACAATATTCCATAAATATATTATATGTTCCAGTTCGCATTAAACAAAATCGCTCGTCACCCGCGATCCCTGGTTCGCCCATGTAAGCGCAGCTACGAAAATATCTCCATTCACCGTTAACTATAAATAAAAATTCATACAAAATACAATAATAAAATCAACAAGCAATTTACATTTTTATGTTAAATTAAATTGTATAACGCTGTCACAGATGAATAACCTTTTTGACGAATTTTACGACACATCGTTGGTTTTACACCTGGCAAGTGCTCCAATTCAGGTTCTTGCCTACAGTCTGTAATAGGCACTGTGGAATTGTCAAACGGATCCGCACATTTTGGATCCGAGTCTGATCTGCACACCCAACATTTAATAGAAAAGCCTGAAAGAATGCGACAGAATTCGAAACGTTTTTATACTCCCAATCACAGGCATACTCTTTGTCCAATATTTTAAATATATATTGTATTTATATAATTTTAATATCTTATTTAAATATCACTTTAAAATACACTTGTTTTTATAAAGTGAAGGTTAGGAATATGTTTGTGAAATAAAATTCTTATCGCAATTATATGTACAAATCTCTGTAGAAACACTGATAATATCACACATATTCGCGAAGATTCGCAATCTCGATCTTTAACAAGATTATTTGAAGGTGAATGTAGAAGTATTAATTAAAACTTAAATATTTTTTAGATGTCTCTCTGACTGAATATACCTTCTTGAATGCAGAGAAAGTACAATGTTGTCACAAGAATGAAGAAGCGAACTCCAAAAGCCATTTCGGGAAAAGCGTGAGGAGCGTCTTGTTTCTTTACTTTGGAAAAACTCCTCACGAGAGAGAGATTCAATGCCTCCAATACTCTCTCTCTATATATTCTATATGTCCACGCCTATAATTGATACAACTGACCGCGCGTTGCGTTAGTCCCTCCAGTTATATACCGGGTGATTTAGAAATAAATAAATCGGAGCAAATTTCTTATTAAGAAGAAATCTCAGGCAACATTTATAATAATTATTGTAATATTGTCAAACATTACAGACTATTATTGTAAAATTATTAATATAAAAATATAACTGACATAACTGACAACATAACTGATCGCGTATTGTTAGTTACCGTATACCTGGTGACCTAAAAGTAAATGAAACAAATTCCTTGTTAATGAGATTTCAGGCAAAGTTTATAATGAATACTATAATTGTTGAATGCCAATGGACAATGATTGAATTCTGATTATAGATTAAAAAGCTACAAATAATTCAAGTTCAAGTTAAAATTTAGTTAAATTTTTAGTATTAAAATTAAGTTAAATTTTTAGTATTAAAAATGAATATTAAACAATATTCTTCTTCTCATGTAATAAATAAATTCCTCACGAGATCATATGTTATATTAAAACCTTTATATACCCATGTTCATAATTGTTTAATTATCACACTTAACCGCATAGTGCACTTTAACCTCTCACCCGTCTTATAATGGGACTCTTACTAATAAGTAAATCTAAATAAATTTGTATTTATTGCCAATATTTTTGAATTATATTCCGAATGATTAGAATTAAAAAATAAACGAGTGATATTACGCTTTCACGATATTCGCTAGTAATCTAAAAGATATTTTTTCATAAAGTTTTAATGTATTTTCTTATCTGTAATATCGCTTGTTTATTTTTTGATTCTAATCATTCGAAATATAATATTCAAAAATATTGGCAGTAAATACAAATTTATTTAGGCTCGATATTACATCTTTTCATATATACGTTACTGAGAACTTCGGATATACTCGGCTTCTTCGGTGTTACGTCACGCGTGACTCGAGTTAACCGCGCCCGACAGATGTGATATTCCTTACAACGTCACGGTATATAATCGCGTGCATATCTATCAAAAGAGTGAAATTATTTTATATCAGTAAAAATCTAACATAAAAAGAGATATTACAATTAAAAATCTCTAACTTAAATTCTGAAAAATAATAATTCAAGTTACAAATATTTTCGACTTATCAAATTTTTCGAGATGATATAGAAAAAAAAATTTAACTTTAAAATTTAACAGAAGTTCAGACACAATGTAATAACAGTTTATTATTGATAACCATGTAAATTAAAAGATTATATTTTACCTCACTTTGAAAGATAAAAGATTTTATTTATTAAGAATATGTTAAGTTTACATATTTAATTGATCCATTTTTTCGAGTTTTAAAGTTTTTATTTATTCTTCAAATTTCGAATTAGACAAGCTCTTTTAAATATAAACAACAATTTTGAAATAAATCAAGTTGTAAAAAATAAAATTATATTAATTTAATTAGTGCGCTCGGAAATATTTCCAATTACATATAATCTAGTATTATTCTTCATCTTGAAGAAACTTCCTCTAGGGAATAAATTAAAAGTAAAATTGTAGAGATTTTCAAGTTAGAAGATTCGAATTAAAGAGGTTCAACTATATATACAGATATTAAGTTACGTTTGCACGTAGGCGTATACAATATTAGAAAATAAACTGGTTGTCAGTCAACTGTCTCTAATCGTCTACGAGTTTTTATCAGGCAAGCGCGGTTTCTCTAACACGTGGAACATACAGTTCAATGTCCCTACGCAGCTATATTATAAAAAATCATTTCTATGAAAACAGGACACAATGAATGTTACAACGAATGTTTGCTGCCTCGCTCAGGATTCCAGCCTGTTCGTAAAGGTATCTAATCTCCTGTTTCTAGCTGTGATCATATCCAGAAGTCTGCATCATGAAATTTCAAATCGACTGGTGCGTCGAGCGAACCGCTTACGTCCAGCATCCTCCAGCTATCTGTATCAGTCTGAGAGAAGGAGAAGGAGGGGAGGGGGGGGGGCGATCTTGGACTCCACGGATCTCGTAGCCCGCAGCGAGCAGGATCGCTTCGCTTTCGCGGGTGGTCCGTGCCGACATCCGACGACGTCCGCGCACGCTCAGCCCCGTTTTGGGGGAAACATTTGAATGCTATAAATAAATATAAATAAATTGATTTGCCGGCATTAGCATAAGTAGCGAAGGGGAGAAGGGGAAACACGAAATGACTTCGACTTCGGCGTCTCGCCGCCTATGCGCACGTCTCTTTTCCACGGCTTACTCCGTTCTGTTCTCGCGCAAATCGTCGGCCGGCCGGACATTGATTTATATCGATGTCCCTTCGGTTTCTGCGGCATTCACCGTCGGACTCTTCTTCCCTTTAACTTAAAAGGGCACTGGACTATGTCCGGATGCGCACATGGCTATTCCGTCTCCTTTAGTCTCTCCAAGTCGTGGGAATTAATTCGAGAGTAGCGTTCTTTATGTGTTGCAATATACGCGATGTACAATCATATCATTGTCGGATTTTAAATATGCAGAATTTAATTATAACTATTACAAGCGATAATTATTTTAAAAATTATAATCTAAGAATTCTAAAAATAATTGGTTTTTAATTTCTAAGAAATTAAAAAACAGCGGATCTCAAAATATAATTGCTAGAAAGTTTATTAATATTTGCTTACAATTTAAAAACTATTTTCGATTTTTGTTTCAATACATCTCTTTTTTATTTGGCAGTAGTAAAAAGAAAATACTATAAAAGTTATGCACAGGCAGATCCTATGGGACACATTAAAAGAATAAACATATATTCAAGTATTCGCTTTCTTGGAAACTTTGAAAGAGATTTAGACTAAAGATAATTGAAAAAATAAAAATATAATAAAAATACGTCAATTATATAAAAAATTGCATATATATTCTAAAGCTTTTGTTTGACACTCAACGTGAAGTTCAGTTTTTTATCTTCAATACACAAGAATCAATATGCTAGTGGCAAAGACTAATGATCTTTAAGTATTACGTATTACGACGAGCCGTTATGTTTTCCTGTGAAAAGCAATTCTTTGTAAATGTTTTAACAGAACTCATATTTCTTTTGTTAATACATGGTCTGCGTAACTGGCGACGCAATTGCAATTGTCGATGCGACACGAGTTGTTCCTTGCAGTTGTCACTTCGACTACATCCGGATAACCGTAGTCGCTTTCTTCCGTCATCGAAGAGATAAAAAATGTGGTATCATTTATTATGGACCGTCATAGTTTCTTATTTTGTTGGAAGTCAAAGCCGTCTCTCTTCGCCGAATGACCGTGCAGACAATGAAAAATTTTTCACGGATATCCTGGACAAAGTATTGCAAACGTCACGACCTAACGATGTCCTGCTCATATTTCGAGATTCTCTATTAAGCGGAGAGGCAAACGATATTCTCGGTAAAATAGTCGCAACGATAACTCGGAACGTATCGACACTTTACGTAAACGCGGATCAGACGGAGCCAGAGTTTCAGGTTTCTTCCTGGGCGATGTCACGCGATCTAGTCGTGTATATCTATGTCTCGGAGCGAGGACCGGATATCGCCGAGTGCGAAGTCGTGGCCGAAGACACGAAACGCTTCATTCACAATCGCGTTCGGCCTAAGGTTCTCATACTGATGATGCTTCATCAACCGTGTCACGATCTCGTGACGCTCTTCCGAGCGATATGGTCGAGGAAGATTCTCGACGCGATCGTCGTGGAGTACTCCAAATCGGAATACCTTAAGCATCCTACGATCGTCCATCGGTACAACCCGTTCATCGACAGCTACACCAAGGAACCATATTCTCCAGATGTCACATGGTTCACAGATGAGTTTCCAAATATGCACGGTTATCCATTGGTGTATGCCGTTACTACTCGGCATCCATACAGCAACATTGTATCAACATTTAAGGGACAGGAATTAAAAGGCATGGATAAGCTTATGAATGAAATGCTGGCGGACAAAATGAACTTTACCGGTATACAAAAAATTGTAGACGCCATATTTTTGCGAAGCTTATCTAATGGCTCTACATATGGTATCATGGTTGACCTAGCCTCCGGAAAATATGATGCTCTATTAGTTACGTTACCAATATGGGAGGAATCAATCAGCAATAGATTCAACGTACAATACACCGATTCTCTTGTCCTCGAGAATTGGTGCTTCGCAATACCAAGACTGCCCGCAAAACAAACTTTCATAGTCGGCACTGTGATACAAATTTTTTTTATGAATTTCTCGATCATAGGAATCTTGTGGTTGTGCTCAAAATTAATGAAGTTCAATCCAAATAGGTGGTATACTGTGAGAATCATCGGTATTATACTGGGCACGTCCTTTCCACCGTCACCCACGAAGCTACACGAGCGAATTGTCCTTTTAAGCATCCTTATTGTCTACATTAGTTATTCGTCAACAATTTTTGCCGAGTTAACGAGCACCGGTTTAGAGAATCGTTATATTCACTTTGATCACCTAGAGGATTTGATGAAGTCCGATCTCATGTTAATGATGTTCGATAATTTATGGTACATGGTCAAGCAATACAACCATGATTTTGAATATTACACACGCAAATTAGGTAAAGAAATCTTAAGTATTCCTTCTACACAGAGTTGTGTCGAAGATCTATTTATGCATCAAAACACCTCCTGCTTTATGAATGAAGATTGGGCCAAACTAGTCGCACTCAACAACATGCGGAATGGCAAGATCATGATAGAGATAACCAAACTTTGTTATCTATCGCTACCAATCGGTAATGTTTTTCCAAAAGGCTCGCCTTATATCAAACGTGTCAGCGAAATAATTTCAATGCTCACGGAGGGGGGTATTAGCGATAAATGGTATCACGAATATCTGAGGAATGAGACAAAAATTGTTCAGATAAATCAGGATCAAGCGAATTCTATGTACGTTAACGTATTTTATCCGATAATTTATGTATTTACAGTGGGATATTCAATATCGATTATCGTTTTTATCGGCGAATTAATTTGGAAGCATTTCGACATCAATTTGAACCTATATTATTTCAATAATATATCATCTAAATAATAAATTTTAAGAATATTTCAAAAAAAGAATAAACAGCAATGGACCACGACATATATAAGAAGTGAGGTTATTATCGAAAAATTTGTTTCTAATTTCATGATCACGGATCCGCCATCGATCAATATTATTATGCATACGTAATTCGAGAACTGGTTCCCTCGAGGCGACGTTATCGAATAGGTGGACATTGTCGCGAAACTGATGATCGCCGCGATACGAGTGACGATAATGAGATGCGTACTTTAATCGCGTCTCGCGCACTGCGGAACGCAGTTAATCTTCGTTATTGCGAACACGTCATGACGTCGACGCGTAATCGTTATATACGGCGCGAGATGGACGCGAGCAATTTTGATCAATGTAACAGTTTCCTCAAACGAGTGGAACGCCTCCGACTTGCTCTTGCGAGTGCGAGCGTATCGTTTTCGTGAGTCAGTCTCGCTTAGGTCGAAAAGCGGTCCTCGTTTCGGGAACGAAATCACCGGCCTGAAGAGCATGCTTCTTGCTTATTTTTCCACAAAAACGGCCAATTTCATATAATCTTCTTG